CCTCCCACTCAGCGTATTAATAAAGAAGCCCTCACTAGAAGGCATTCTAACAGTCCCCTTTCCCCCAGAGTCCGCACCCCCTATGGCACCATTAATAGCAGCCGGACTAGTCTCCAACCCCCGTGGGTTTTCCCCCAAACCCACATAACCTCCCCCCCTCAGAACCCCTTAAAAGTCTATTTAAAAATGTCTTTAAAAAACCCCTCAATCCCCTTTTTGTGACATGCCACCTCTCGGGGTCCCAAGATCCGTCATTAAGGTGGGCCCTCGATAACATAGAGGGCCAGGCCTGCGAGAGGGGGGAATCTCGCAGCACAAGAAGCTTTGCCCTGGAATACATTTAAAACACTAGAGTGATAATACAAGTTTGGCCTAGACATGGCCTAGGGGTCTATAATGATGGTTTTGAATGTCCAGGAAGCAAGACAAGTTAATCGGAAGAGTCACCATTACCCTCTCACGGTAATGGGTAGGAGTCCTCACGTTCAGTCCAGCTGGGGGGAACTATCCAACCACCCTCTCACGGTGGTTGGCCATCCTAATCAAGGCAAGATGGAGAAAGTCAGAAAAAGTCCAAAGCCACCCTCTCACGATGGTTTGGCCCTACTGGCCCTGGAAAGATGAATCCCATCTGCGGTGAACGTAGTCTGGAACTGGCTCCATCCATCCTCCCGTAACTGCCTTGTCCTCCATATAGCCAGGAGACAGGACGAAAGACAGAGCCAGGTCCCAAGCTCCGGGGTAAGAAAGTCCACATTGGCAGATAGGCCGATAACAGAGCCAAAAAAAAAAGGTGGGGGGAGGCCATCCATAGTGACCCAATGCTTGAGCCATCCACCAGCCTCTCCAACCCCAGGTCTTTCCACACAAGCCCTTAATGTCAGCCATGTGTCCTTCAACCCCTGAGCACAATGGGGTTTAACTCCCCCATTTCAATGCCGAGGCTTGATGTTCCTCTCCTCTCCTCCAACGCCAACAGCTCTCCAGCACCATCATCAGCCGCCACCGCCCTCGACCTGGTTGCCATGCAGCAGCCGCCATTGCCACAGCGTCGTCCTCGGCGCCGGCCACACCCGAGCTCCCAGCGTACCCTAGCGCCCCCGGAACATCCAAAAGAAACCTCCAGGGGCATCCAGGGTCAGGGGGGAGCTCACTAGGCATCACTGCCGCCGCCGCCAACGCTCCGGCCGCCGCCACCTCGGCCAAACAGGAAGAGAAAACGGCGGAGCCGATGCGGCCGGGCTGTCGGTCTTCAGCCTCGGCGTTCTTCCACCCGCGCCGTCTTCCGCTCACTTCTCCCCAGCCGCGAGGTTCCGGAGGGCGAAAAAGCCCTCGTCAGGCTGGGGAGAGACTCCTCCAGCTGGGAAAGGGGTTGCAGATGTTCATGGCAGCCCCAAAAGACCCCTGCCAGTCCACGAGCCACCCATCCTAGATGCGATTCAGACGGGCGTCGCCATCTTGGGGCAGGCGCAGTCTGCACATTCCTAAGAGGTCTGTAATGGGCATGCATAAGAGCACCAGCGTGCCTACCGGCCCTGTCCTAATGTTTCTTCTATTTGTATCTATTTTATGTATCCAATCCATGTTTATATTTATTACCTAATATATTCTTGACAAATAAATAAATAAATAAAATAAAAAAGGAATGTAAGATGGGTCTTGGGTCTCTCTCTTTTCATAGCAAGATCTCCCTTTATTAGGATACCCTAATTGCTTTTAAATTATTTTCTGATTCGATTGCTTATTGGGAAGATAAACCAAAGCAGAACATAGGGGCAAATTTGGCTATCAATTGGCAAAAAAGAGCTGGCTGATGAAATGAAAAAAGGATTTCTCATTTAAAATGATTCTTTTCTACATTTGCATTTTGAAGATTAGAGACAGAGACAGACATATAGAATATAGAGAGATAGACAGAAAGATAGAGATGATAGAGATAGAGACAGAGATATAAATTTCCCTTTTCACTCTTATGAGTGGCCTGTTTTTTTTCTCAATTTTAGGTCCTATACCAGAGGCCTGGGAATTTGAGAATTCTGTGCAGGATCTTAACTGTTTCTAGCAATGTGCTGTTCTGGACTGACAGCTTTGATGTTGTTCCTGGAACCTTAGATGTCACAGCCATGAATGCTCCTAATTTTCCATATCTTTTCCAGTTTAGGCCCTGGTACTTCTCTAGTTTCTCATACTTCCCCCCCCCCTGATGTAGCTGTCCCTTGGCACCACTATATCTATTATGACCACTGTCTTCTGGACTTTGTCTACTACCACAATGCCTGGTTGATTAGCTAGTACCCGCCTCTCTGGAAATCCACAGGATCTTAGCCCTCTTATTTTCCACAACCTTCTAGATCACCAATCTAGATAAAGGAAGATCTAGCCCATTCAGTGCATAATGTCAGTATTTGATTGTACAGTTCAGTGTTTGCTGTTCCTGCCAACATCTTACATCCTACCACTATATGTTGGACTCTGTCTGAAATCTCTCTTCATAATCTTCAAATCCAACCACCCAGAGACTAGTGTGTAGACTCCTTTTTCTATGGATTTGGTGTTTAGTTCCTGTTCTTGTGCTGCTAGGAATTAATGCCTCAATGCTGTTCACTCCAGACCTTTCCACCCACTAATAGGATTTCCTAATAACTGCCACTTCAGTTATCTATCAATAGTACATCCCATGCAGGGTCTTAACTTGTGATGACACTTCCTCTGCTTAATCTTTCTCCTACAGATGTTGCTGCCTCAGGATTTCTATCAAGAGCTCATCATTGGCTGCCATCTTACTGATGTATTCCTGAATGCTCTGGGTTTCATCCACAATAATGACTTTGATACTCAACATACCCCAAACACTCTCTGTCTAGTGTAAAATCTCTGGGTGCTGCACTTGAGATGGAAACCTCTATACATTTGAGCTATTGTATACCCTTGACTTACATTGATGCACCTTCTTCTACCTAGGATGGTCGTCCCCTTCTACAGATCACACAGCTTCAGGAGTGACACACATGGAGCAGTAAGGGAGAAAGGGAAACCCACCTAGCCAGCCAGATCAGTTGAATCAATCATATTTCCATGATTGATTCATGGAAATGAATGGGATGAACTGGGATGACAGATGTCACAGTCAGATCACCCTCACATCCATACATTGTGAGGAGTTTTCAGTTCTTCACATTGGTAGCTTCCATGTCCTCCTTTGGTCAGCTCACTATATTAGCAAAATATCTGATGATTGGTGGAACGCACATATTAAAGGCATGGATCTTGTTATTCTCATTGAGATGGCTCTTCAGGACCTTTCTAATCCTTTGTTGATACTTGGATGTTGCTGTTTTCCTTGCCTCCTCCTCATGATTCCCATGTGACTGTAGGCAACAAGGTATTTGTATGTGAACTGTATGTCTGCTATGTGACCAACTGGTAGTTCTACCCATAGGTCTTAATTATTTTCCCCTCTTGACTGTCATCTGGCTATAGTGATTACCTGGATGAAGGGGTTCAAGCCTATGCAGAACAGTAACAGAGATAGTGCATTGCCTTGGTATATATTGCAATTATGTAAGCTGTCCTGAGTTGACTTTTAAACTTGGCTTCTACAGTCCCATTGAATACTTTAAAATACTTTAAAAGATTCTTAATGTAATGTTGACTTTGTATAGTGCCAGGCATTCACAGATACTTGTCTGTGGCATTAGGTTGTAGGCATTCCTGTAGTCAATCTAGATGTGCTCAGACTGGTCTGTCTAGATCTTCACTCTTGGGTGACTATTCTATTTATGAGCAATTGCTGTTTTTAGCCTCTAGTGTTGTTCCCAGTGCCTTTCTGAGCTGGCTCATGTACAAGTCCATAATGGTCATATACCTTGATGGCTCTAATACCTGACTAAGTCTTTCCATATTTTGGGAGGGAGGTTATTGACTGGTAGTTGACAGTGGTGTTACCTTTCAAGATCAGCACTGTCCTTTCTTGGATTAGCCAGTATACATACAAATACATATGCATATGCACAAATACAAATTTTGTTCATCAAATTTTATTTTATTTTATTTATTATTTTATTTTATTTTATTTTATTGGTTCCTCAATTATCAAGCAACTTTAGGTGGTTTACAAACCATGATTAAAACAATAAGAAAAATCATAGGAACAACAGAACTATTGAACCCTTAGGTATATTACATTCTACTCCAAAATCTGCTTAAATAACCAGGTTTTCCTAGAGTTATGATGATATGGATCTTTCAAATCTCTGAGGCATGTTCAGCTTCAGAAGTGTATCTCCTACATTCGCTAAAATGACAATGTTTTATATCTGGACTGCTCTACCAGCTCTTACAAGTCAGGCAGAAATTACAGGAGAAAAATGGTTCTGAATGTAACCAAGATCTAATACACATACGATTTTATAGGGGAACTATCACAATTGTATCTGGAATCCTTCTGATGACCAGTGAGCTCATAAAACAGGGATATGATGTGGGCACTATTGAGTGTTTGTATGGTGATATTTTGGACCAGTTTAGTTTCTGGGTGACCTTCAAGAAGTCCATACAAAGAAAAATCAGTAGCTTAAGTGGGAAGTCACTGGGACAAGAATGATCATGAGAAGGATTTCCCAATCCAGTGAAGAACATAATTGACACATAACTAGATGTATGTAATGATTATCTTGGTGACAGCTGTTTTCTGCATGTTAAGGTGCCAAGACCAGAAGAATCTTCAAATGATGTACAAATTTTAACTGGAAAAGTGCAATGAGAACTAAGGATAGTAAATCCATGTGTCTAAAAGAATGAGGTCTTGGATCCTTAGGCACTTTAGGGAGCTAGATACAAATATAATCAAACTCAACTATAAGTTTAACTTGTTATGACTGTCATAAAAAGCACAAGAATGTTGAGATAACAGGAGAAAAGAATAGTAGACAATCAATGATTTAACAGTTTGACTGGAGAATTAGTAACAAGGGATGATTGTTAATATCTTTTTTTTACAGCTTCGACAGGCAGCTTTAAAGCATCTCTTAAGTACTGAACACCTGCAATACCAGCTGGAATTTAACCATTTGGGAATGTCATTCTATGCTGAAAGGCTCTGAGAATCTCAAACATATGTAACAGTTTGGGCTGTAATACGTAGGGTAGATATTTTCATGCAATACTCTGTATCTAGAAAGAATGTTTTCCTCAATATCAATTAAATATCATATAAAATTTTAAAGCGAAAGATATTTTTTCTTTGTTTTGACAGATGGTAAAATTACCCATTTGCCTTTGACTGAATTACATATGGTTACAATGGAAAATCAATGTAATGCAGACTAAAACAAAATAAGTTGCAAAATGAGGCATATTCCAAGAAATTAAGCACTAGAGGAAGAAAGTGAAGTGAAAAAAAATTTAAGAATATGTTTAATTTTCCCAATAAAATAAATGAATTACAGAAATATTTAAAATTAGCTGAATTTTTGGGAGGGAAAAGTCAACATCTATACATAAATGTATGGAACATGTACAAAAGCTGATGAACAAGCTAAATATATATTTAAGCCACTATTTTGTCTATTTAATTTAATATATGTATTTTGCTATTTGGTTTAAATGTTTCAGAGAAGCTTGTATATAGAAAATACAGTATATAAATAGCATAAAGTATTTCATTTCTGATGTCCCTAAGAAGAAATCTCTTGACCTATGTGAAAGGATACTTGATTTAACAATAAATAATCCTTTGCCATAGCTCTGTTTATTGTTCTGTATCTAAAAATCTAAACATTCATTCATTCATGCAATCAATCAATCAATCAATCAATCAATCTTTATTATGATCAGCACAAAAAAAATAACATTTTAATTTTAAAATTAAAAGTTAAAATAAAACAGAACAGAATAGAACTGAACTGAACTGAACTGAACAAGGTATAGTAATATATTACAATTGATGGTCAAATCAAGGTCAAGGTCCATAAATCTAAATATAATTACCTATTCTTAGTTTCAAGCATATTTTCAAAAATAACCAAAACAGTCCTTACTTAAAGTTATGCTACATATAGTATACAGCCCATGGATTCTATTATACATTTTTAGAAGAAGCATTTTAAAACAAATAGGTTGACTATAAATCAATCAAGACTCTTATAACTTGGCCAAAGTGTATGAAGAATCTAAATCTGCTTGGTCAGTAACAAAAATTATTATCACTTTAGGCTGACAGAATGTAGAATGAAGAGCTGATCTGCCATCATGAGATGTGATCTCCAGAAATTCAGTCTATTCTTGTGATTGATAATATAAACCTGAAAAACAGCCCGGAGGAGAGAACATTTTTTTTTTACATAATTCTCCATCAAGGGGAAGGGATGGGCTAAGGCAATGACAGAAAGGAAGTTGACTTCACAGGGAATTTAGAAAAAATTGGTTAGCAAATAAATATGGCCTAAACAATCTCAGATTGCTGAAGGGACAAAGACATAAAGTAATTCAGTAATTCAAGGCACAAAGAAGAAAAAGATGCAATGCTGATTATGTCTACTTAGTGCAAGTTTACAGAGGAAGTGAAGGATCTGAAGATACAAGATCTTCATGGTTGTACTAGCCATGAGACATTGTCAGCTAAGACCCAACAAACAGGAGGCGAAAGGAGACCAATTTATAGGACCAAGCCCAAAGCATAAACACCACACAACAAATCAGACAATTAGTCTGAGAATGATGAGAAGGAAGAAATACTCAGGTATAAAATAGGAGACATAGGAAACAAATACAGGGTCAACCATAAAGGGTTGGACTAGAAAACCAGTGCTTGGATTCTATAATTCCATGAAAAACCCTTTGTTAATATTATGAAGATGGTAAAGTAAGGTTATTTATTATCCTAGCTGACAACTTTGTCATCTAAAAGAGGAGGGAACTAGAGGGTCAGCTATACTGGATTTAATTCTTATTAACAGAGATGAAATGACAGTGGGGCTTGAAGTTGCATGAACTTTGAGGAAAAGAGACCATGCAATATTGGAATTCAATATAATGCAGACACAAGCAACAGAACAAAGTCAAACTAATGTCTTATATTTTAAAAGAGCTGATTTCAACAAACTTAGAGAGAGCTTGGGAAAGAGTCCATGGATGAAAATGGATCTAGGAAACTACAGATCTATCAGCCTAACATCAATATCTAGGAAGATCCTAGAAAAGATAAGTCTAGAATGCAAATAAGGACTGTGATGTTGATCCTATTACACATCTTGGTACAAATGATCTATCCCAAAAAGATATACTCTCTGTGCAGAATGATTTCCAGAGCTTGGGACAGCTTGGGACAGGAACTTGGTAGGATTGGCTTTAGGCTTACTTTTTCATAGTTTTACTAGTATATAAGGGGGAAAAAAAGGAAAAGACTAGTATATAGTGGCGTTCAATGTGTGGCTGAAGGAGTGGTGTAAAGTTTGGTTATATTAGTCACTATGTCTGCAGCTGGTCTGTACAAACTGTACAAAAGAGATGGTTTGCATCCATCAAAGAAAAGGACTGAGTTACTTGGCATTAAATTCATAGATTTTCTGGAGAAATATTTAAACTAAACCAGGACAGTGAGTTAATTGATATATAACATTTATGCCCCCAGCAATCCAAAACTAATAGGGTTATCAGTACATGTAGCATAGATGTTTGTGCAGGTAAGAATATCAACCTTGTTATCAAGCAAAATCAAGTTTTTAATAGTGCCATACCAAGTGCACTAATCAAGCAGGAGAAGTAGGGGAACTCAGGCACCAAACAGGTTATGTAGACAGTAAACACAGGGTCAATAAAAATGGACTCAAGTGTCTATACACCAATGCACAGAGTATGAGCAATAAATGGGGTGAATTAGAAATTCAAGTAAATGAGGGCAGATATGATATTGTTGCCATTACGGAAACTTGGTGGGATGAAACCCACAAATGGAACATACAGCTAGAGGGATTTAAATTATTTAAAAGAAACAGACCAAACAAAAGAGGAGGTGGAGTTGTACTATATATATGAACTAATTACATCTCTACAGAAATAGAGCACAACAATGATGAAAACTGTCTTGAATGTATTTGGGTCAATATAAAAGGGGGAAAATGATGTTGTCATAGGTGTATACTAGAGGCCACCCAATCAAACAGAGTAAATAGATGACCTTTTTGCTAGTTAGTTAACTAAGGTATGTACGAAGCACATCACAATAGTAATGGGGGACTTTAACTACCCTGGCATCAACTGGGAGACAAACTCCACAACAAGTAGAAGATCAAACAGGTTTCTGACAAACTTAGTAGACAACTTTGTCTCCCAAAAAGTAAAGAAGGAAACTAGGGGATCAGCCATATTGGACTTAATTCTCACTAACAGAGATTAAATGATAGAAGGTGCTGAAGCTACAGGAACCTTGGGAGGGAGTGATCATGCAAGCAATATTGCAAGCACAAGCAACAGAACAAAGTCAAACTAGAGTCTTGGACTTTAAGAGAACTAATTTCAATAAACTTAGAGAGAACTTGGGAAGGATTCCATGGATGAGAATCCTCAATGGGAAAACAACTCAAGAAGCTTGGGAAATTTTTAAAACTGAAATTATAAAAGCCCAGTCTAGCACAATACCAATGAAGAAGAAAAATAATAGATCTCAAAAGAAATCAGCATGGCTGCATAAAGAACTCTCTGACAAATTGAAAGACAAAAAGGACAAGCATAAAAGTGGAAAGAGGGGCACATAATTAAGACAGAATATAAGCAAATACCCAATCCTGCAAAGATGAAGTGAGGAAAACTAAGGCTTAGAATGAACTCAGACTTGCAACAAAAGTAAAAAATAACAACAAAAAAAGATTTTTCAATATGTAAAAAAAAAAAGTCAAGGAAATGGTTGGTTCACTAATGGGAGAAAGTGGCAAGAAGGTGATAAACAACAAAGAGAAAGCAGAACTATTTAACTCATTTTTTGCATCTATTTTTACACAAAGGGAAAAAACAGTCCAACCTATCAAAAATTACTGTAAAAAACGAATTATGAATACAAGTTAAAATAGGCAAGAAAATGGGAAGCGAGCAACTGTCCCCCCAAGATGAGTTTAAATCACTGGGACCAGATGGATTACACCCCATCTGGTTCTGACGGAACTGGCAGATGTGATCTCAGAACCACTGAATTATGTCTTCCAAAGATACTGGAGAACCGGGGAACTACTAGAGGACTGGAAAAGTACTGATGTAGCGTATTTTTTGGAGTATAAGATGCACTGGACTATAAGATGCACGTTAATTTTTGGGGAAGAAAAGAAGGAAAAAAGAACTCTGCCTCTGCCTACCAGCATCAGGATCAGTGGTGTCCTCACTTCCACTCAGATATTGATAACCTGTGCCTTTGCTGCCTCGGTCGGAGCCCGATTCCAGAAGCAGCCCAGGGAAGCGCGGAGGTCGGGACTCCATCTCCATCTTGCCTTATACCTCCTGCACTGCTGCCTGAAAACAGTTTCCTCCCCGATTCCAAAAATGGGGCGTGCAGAGGCAAAAAAAGAACATCACTTTTTGGGTGCTTCCAGGTGACAGTACTTTGTCTTGCACCACCTACGCAATGCCCAAAAACGTGATGCTCTTTTTCCTCTCCAATTCCAAAGACAGGGCGTGTGGAGGCAAAAAAAAGAGCATCACATTTTCGGACAGTTTCAGGTGGCAGAGATCGCGGCAACAGTGTTTTTGGATGGCAGAGCCTTGCCTTATGGCCTGCTTCGCCAACTGAGTCCCGACCTCCATGCTTTCCAGGGCCACTTCTGGAATCAGGCGCTGACCGAGGCAGAAAAGGCACAGGAGGCTTGCCAGGAAGCCCAGCATTGTGTTTACGAGATGGCAGTGTCGAGGAGGACTGAAGTACTGCATCTCTTTTGGGCCTTGCTGTGAGAAAGCCAGGCTTTCAACGCCTACAGCTATAGGTAAACAGGGGCGTCTTGAGAGTGGAGCTTTTGTTGCCATGAAAATCATCCCCCACCCCACCCCACTTCTGTTCCCATGAAAATCATCCCCCATCCCACCCCACCCCACCCACTCCAGTTAAATGCGTGTAGAGTGATAGGGTTTGTTTTAAACGGATAAAAAGATCTGTGCTGCTCATTATCAAAATCTGAGTGGAAGTGAGGATCCCCGCTGCCTGGAACCGCCGGAAAATGCAACATGCAAAGGTTGAAAACCTCT